ATTCAGCAAAGGCACGGCTCTGGTTACCTAGAATGACCACGTCCCGGGTGCTGTTTCAGGAGCTGTGGGTGCGCTGGAGACCAGGAAAATAGATAACCAACTGCTTTCATGCACTTATATTCCAGAGAAGGATAACGAAGTAAATGTATAGATCGCAGATACACAGTCGTCCCGGGTTTCCAAGGGGGGATTGGCTCAGGGATCCCTGCGGATGCTGATGCTGGAGGATGCTCAGGCCCCTGCCGTGGAGACCCTCCACACCCCTCCCACCACCTCGGATCACTCCTAATTCCTAACACAATGTAAACGCTGTGCCCATGGTTGGTCTGCACTATTCTGGGAACAATAGCAAGAAGAGCTTGTATGTGTTCAGTACAAGGGCAGCTACTTATTTTTCCACCGATTTTCAGCGCATGGTTGTTGAACTTGTGGACAAGGAGGGACAACTGTATCATGTGGCAGAAGGTGAAAGACGCCTGCAAGACAAATAAAGCAGGGTGTAGGAGCAGGGTATCGGGCTGCTGTTTTATGGCAGAGAAGGGCTGTTGGATAAGCTGCTTTTGTGGAGAGACGTGAGGAAGTAGGGGGGTGGACCATGAGTCCGTGGGGGTAGGAGCTATGGGCCAAGGGTCCAGCAAGGGCACAGGCAGGTGAGAGCGTGGGGTCCTGAGGTCACAGGGAGRCTGTGGCAGAGAGGGAGGGGGAGGGGGCAAGAGAAGAGGGCCATTTTATGCAGGGCCTTAAGCAGCCAAATGGGGAGACCCGTGGATTTTGCTCAGAGCTAATGGCAAGTGTGGCAGGTTTTTGAACAGAGAAGCTGCATGGTCCCCTCTGGCCGCTGTGTAAAGAAGGGGCTAGCCTGGTGTGGTGGTGCATGGCTGTAATCCCAGTGGCTGGGGAGGCTGAGGCAGGAGGATCACAAGTTTGAGGCCAACCTCAGCAATTTAGAGAGGCCCTAATCAACTTAGAGAGACCTGACTTAAAAAAATAAAAAGGGCTGGGGAATGTAGCTCAGTGGTAAAGTACCTCTGGGTTTAATTCCTAGTACAAAAGGAAACAAAATGAAGAAGAGACTCTGGGGGTCAAGAGTGAGCAGGGAGATCAGAGGAGATGGTTGTAACAGGCAGGTGAGGGATGAGGTTGGCTTGCACTGCGGGCGTGGGAAATGGCTCCATTGAAAGGTGTAACCAAGATTCCCTAAAGTGGCAACTTGGATTCCAAAAGCTGCTAAGACTAGCTCATTTGATCTTCCCACACATTGATCCTTCTAACCAGAGTTACTTGATTTTAGATGCATTTAGATGTTTTCCTTATTTATTTATTATTTTAGCCTGAACAAAGGAGAAGTCTATTTCTCACATCTGGGTTTGGGCTGGTGGTCCACTGTGACCTGCCAGCTCCACGGTGCTGGGGGTTCAAGTTCCCGMTATACTATCCGCTCTTGTCCCCTGTTCTAGGGCAGGAGTTGGAATCTATGGACAGGTAAAAATCTGGCGTCTGTGTTTGTACGACTCTTAACTGAAAATGGTTTTTATACTTTGTATTATTTATTTGCTTGTTTGTTTATTCTAATTAGGTCGATGTGACAGTAGAATGCATTTTGATTCATYGTACACAGAGCACAACTTTTCTTTTCTCTGGTCGTACACGATGTGGAGTCGCCCAATATGTGCAGTCCTACATGTACCTAGGGTAACTATGTCCGTCTCATTCCACCATCTTTCCTGCCCCCTGCCCCCTCCCCTCCTGTTTGCCCAATCAAAGCTCCCCCATTCTTCCCGTGCCACCTCCCCATTATGGATCAGCACCCACTTATCAGAGAACATTCAGCCTTTGGTTTTGGGGGATTGGCTTACTCTGCTGAGCATGATAAAAGAAGTATATTCCATGACACATGAAAATGTTATGGAATTCAAATTGCAATGTCCGTGAATTTTATTGGAACAGCCCTGACGCTCATTTAYGTATTATCTGCAGTCACGATAATGGGTTGAATTGTGTGCCCCGCCCCCCGCCAAATATGCTCAAGTTCTGACTCCTGGTGTTCATGCCTGTGACCTTATTTGGAAATAGGTTCTTGGCAGAGGTGACCAAGTTAAGGTGAAGTCATATTGGATTAGGGTGGGCCCTAAATTTAATGACTGGGCTTATGGTTTAGATATGAGGTGCCCCCCAAAAAAACTCATGCGTGAGGCAGTGCAAGAACGTTCGGAGGTGAGATGATTAGATTATTGAGAGCTGTCACAATCCGTGGATTAATCCACCAAGTAGGGTGTGGCTAGAGGAGGTGGGTCACTGGAAGTGTGCCCTTGTGGGCCACCCAAGCAGACGGGAGGATTCGTAATGAGCGCGTCTGTCCCACAAACCTAAAAGATTTATCCCGTGGCTCTTTATAAAAAAGTGTCTACCGGCCTCTGATCTAGAGTCTTGCCCTTATTTGTACAGTGGGAGGTGGCCTGTCACCTTATCTGCAAAGGAAAAAAATTAATCACTGTTAATGTCACACCCACTTTGTAGATGGGGAGGTCAGAGCAAAGAAAGGGTTAGGGCTTAACCAAATGAGGTGACCCTGTTCTCTTCCCAATGCCCCCAAATCCTACCCTCCTCCTCCCAACCTCAGCACCACGACTGTCTTTGAGGGACACCCTTCTCCAAAGTCCCCACCCACAGTGTAGGCAGGACTGACCCCATGTCCTGGTTCCAGGGTTTGGTACCCAACTGCATTAGTTAGCTCGGGTTGTCATAACAAATATCACAGACCGAGTGGCTTACACATCAGAAACTTATCTCCTCACAGCTCTTGGAGGCTGGGAAATCCAAGGTCAAGGTCTGGTGAGGTTTGGCTTGGGGGAAAGTTCATTTCCTGGTTTGTAGGTGGCCAGGTCTTGCTATGTCCTCTCACCTTTCCTTGGTGAATGCATGTGCAGAGAGATCAGTCCCTCCTTATTCTTTTAAGGCCACCAATCTTAGCAGATTTGGAATCTGTTTAACCTCATTTAAACCAAATTAACTCCTAAAAGCCCTGTCTCTAAATACAGTCACCTTGGGGGTTAGGGCTTCCGCACAGAATTGGAAAGGGCAGGGGCACAGGCAGGCAAGGGAAAGCAGTGCATTTCTTGCTTGGTTGCTTTTCACATTGATCCGAGGCGATTATCCCCAGGCATGACACTTGCTATAATTTTCAGGAAAGCACAGCTCTGTTTTCCTCTGCACTAAGAAAAATGTGAGAGTACAGTAGCAGAGCATCTGGAGAGGAACTGCCAGAGAGCACAATCCTGGTAGAAGAAACAGAGCTAAGTGGTGGAGAGAAAACAAGAACTTGGAACATGGCGGCACCTAGATCAACCTATACCTGAAAGAGATTCCCTGTGGACTTTATCCATTAACATGATGCTTYCCCCCCCCCACTTAAGCCAGTTCTGTTTCAGTACTTGCAACTTCATGAATTCTGGCTAATGATCGATGGTCTCCTAGCTAAGAGTAGAGAAGAAGAAATTTGAAAGCAGATCTGCTCAGTATTATGTGGCTCAACACAGAATTTCTTGGGCCTAATCCCAGAGCCACCCATCCAGATCACGGCTGGGTTCCGTTATTCTTTAATGATTTATCCTCACTCTCCTTCCGGGGGTTAGGAAGGCACAATGAATATGATTAAATAAAAGTGATTATTCAAATAAATCCGAGTTACTGCTGGGAGTACCCCCTGCAGTGAAGTAACCCAGGCTTCCCAGAGCTGAGGTTGCAGTGTAGGCCCTCACAAAGGAGAAGGGACATTCCCTGCTGGCACCAAATTGCTTGGACACAGACACAGCTCTGCAAAGGCTGTGTGACCTTGGGCAAGCAGCTGAACCAGGCTGAGCCCAGTTTCCTCATCTGAAACACGGGGAGAATAATCATACCCATCTCTTAGCGTTAAAGGGAGCTGGGTGACSGCGACTATAGCACACAGGAAGCCCTTTGCATAAACTATGGTTATTATTCCAGACTCTTTACTGTCTCAGACTCAAGGCCWGCCTCGGCCACCTCGGGCTTCATAAAGGACCATCACCACCACCTCCTCCCTCTTTCTTACACTTTTCTTTCTTTGGGAGCATTTTCTGGCTGCAGGAGCCTGTCTTTTCTGATCCCCTCTTTTAGCAGGGGGAAGGGCAGAAGCCTCCTCTGTCAACCGCTCTTTCCCCAGGACCTCTTCTCCCGCCTGGCACCCAGTAGGTGTTCAGTGAATACCAGTTGGAAAAAAAGGGCAGCCGCACAAGGCAGGGGCCACTTCCGTCCCGGGCCTGCCACGCCACCACTGGGAGAGCTGGGGGTGGGGTGCTGGGGGGAGGACCGGGCCGTCTGGCTGCGAGCGCTTCTCTCCCTTTCAACTTCCCGGTCCCAGGGCCTGACAGCACGACTCCGGAGGCTCCTCGGGCGAGGCCACCGCCCCGGAATCAGGGCCTTCCCAGTCCTGCCTTYGCGGAGGGAGGACCGGGTTGGCCCGCGGGAGGCCAGCTCCCAGCGCGTCCACAAGTCCCTCCCGCCGCCCGGCGTCGCTCGAAGGCGGGGGCCCGGGAGGGGGCCGACCCCGCCCGCCCGCCSCGCGCTCGGCTGGCTGCCCACTTCGGCATTTCCTCCCGCCCCTGGCGCGGCCTGGCCCTCGGAAGAGGAAGCTCCCGCGGCCCGAGTAACGGGCGCCGGCGCCGAGGGCAGCGGCCGGAGAACCCGGAGGGCCACCCGCGGTAGGACCGAGCCAGGCCGGGCCAGAAGCTGGCCGAGGGCGGCGCGCCGGGGCGCCGGGCGGGCAGGGCCGCCGGGCCGGACGCAGCGCGCAGGGCGCGGCCGGGAGCCGGGGGGTGCAGGGCGGGCCGCAGCTGGAAGGAAAACTTGAGCTGGGAGAGGAGGCCGAGCTGCAGGGCGGCGGCCCCCCGCCGGCGGACGGGGGAGCCGCCGCGGAAGCCGAGGAGACGGGCGCCGCGGGGCCGCCGGGTGGCCGCGCGCATGCTGGGCCCGGGGCGCCGGCTGGGCTCGGGGCGCCTCCTGGGCGCGCGCCCTGGGCTGCCCGGCCGCCGCGGCCCCGCGCGCCCGGCATGTCGGTGCACTACACCCTCAACCTGCGCGTCTTCTGGCCGCTGGTGACCGGCCTGTGCACCGCCCTCGTGTGCCTCTACCATGTCCTGCGGGGAAGCGCGGGCGCCCCGGCCGAGCCCCCCGACGGCGCGGACAGCGGCTTCCCGCTGCTCAAAGTGGCCATCCTGCTCCTGCTCGGCTACGTCCTCCTGCGCTGTCGCCACTTGGTGCGGCAGCGCTTCCTGCCCGGCTCTTCTCGCCTGGCGGGCCGCTCGCCTTTCTCTCCTAGACACTTGCGAGAGCCCGGCCTGAGCATCCTGCTGGAGAGTTACTACGAGCACGAGGTGCGCCTGTCCCCGCATGTGCTGGGCCACAGCAAGGCGCACGTGAGCCGGATCGTGGGCGAGCTGGTGAGGGCTGGCCGTGCGCGGGGCTCCCCGGGTCCCATCCCTGGAGGAGCGCTGGCCTTRGCCTTCCGCGGAGACTTCATCCAGGTGGGCAGCTCCTACGAGCAGCATAAAATCCGCCGCCCCGACAGCTTCGACGTGCTGGTGCCCCTGCGCCTCCCTCCACCGGTGGCGCTGGAGCCGCGGAGCCTGGGCACGGAGCCCGCGCTGGCCCCTGCCTTCGGCAGCTGCTTCGTGTGCGCCCTCAAGGCGCCGCCCTCGCTGTCGGGGACCTCCGGGGGCCAGTGGCTTCGGGACTGCAAACCCTTCGCGGACGSCTTCTGCGTGGATGTGCGCGGGCGGCGCCATCTCTCCGCCGCGTTGGTGCTGCGTTGGTTCCAGTCGCACCTGCAGCGCTCCCTGGCTACGGTGCGCTACAGCTTGGAGGGGCGCTGTCGGGTCAGCCTGACCCCCGGCGGCCTGGAGCAGCCTCCCACCCTCCACATCCTGCCCTGCCGCACCGACTACGGTTGCTGCCGCCTTTCCATGGCTGTGCGTCTCATCCCCGCCGTCCATCTGGGCGACGGTGTCTTCCTTGTGGCACCGCCACCGCCACCTTCACCCGTCGGGCCCCTGTTGGAGCTCCCAGGAGGCCTGCGCACTGAGGCACTATGGGGTGTGAACACAGCTCGTCAGGAGCAGAARCTCCTGGGCTGGCTGCAGGAACGGGCCCCTCCAGGTGCCTGCTACCTCAAGTGCCTGCAGTTGCTTAAGGCTCTGCGAGACCTGGGTGCCCGAGGGCTGGACCCGGTGGCTGCCACCCAGTGGGGACGCATYCTGTCGTCATATGTGCTCAAGACGGTGCTGCTGACGGTGCTGCTGCGCGATGGGGTCCCCGCACACGGCTGGGAGGAGGCGCACCTGAGCGAGTGCTTGGAAGAGTTGGTGCAGTTCCTTCGGGGCTGTCTGCTGAGACAGCACACGCTCTTCCACTGTGTCCTGGGCCCCGGCGGGGCGGCCACCGAAGTGGGCCCGCTGCCCAAGGTACTGCGTGAAGCCGCCCCGGTTGACCTTCTGGCCGCCTTCGACCCACACGCCCGCGAACTCACAGCGGCGAGGTTGCTGTCCACGTGGCGAAGGCTGCCGCAGCTTCTCCAGGCCTACGGGGGTCCCCGCTACCTTGCCAGGTGCCCCCCACCCAGGAGTCAGCGCACACAGGTKTTCCCTGAAGATGAACCCTGAACCTTGACAGCACTTGCACCTGACCAAATGCTCCTAAAACCTTTCCCTTCGGGTGACTGTAGGGATGAAGCCAAAGGCAAGATGACTGTGTTGGACAATTTGGAGGATGCCACAGGCTTTGGTGGCTTAGATGTCACCCCTGGCCCCACAACCGAATATAGTTACTGCATCTTCTTAACATCCGCAGGAGGGTTCTGAACAAACTGGCATAATGCCCAGCTGCAGCTGTTGAGATTTGGCCACAAGGGTGATCTGTGTGGAATCTTGTAGAAAGATCTGTTCCCAGGGAAATCCAAAAGAGAAAGCAAAAACTAGCTTCAAARCAAGTTCCCTCAGTTGGCTTCTAGACACAGACCTCAGTGCACCCAGATTTTTTAAAATTAACAAATGTTTATGACAGACCTATTTGCTAGGAACTAGRTTCCCAACTGAATKTTTTWAAAAAGAAAAAGAAAAAGGAAGAAAACTCTCTGAATCTTTAGGGACAACTGAAGTTCTAGTGCAGAATTTAGTATTCTGTTTCTTTATTCAAATTAATATCAATGTATTTTATGGTGCAATCACAGATRTTTGATAGGACGGTCAATGATTGAGTCTTCCATGTGGCAAGGCCGTCAAGAGTTGGTTAGAGGCATTTCCAGAGCAAGTAGCACTTTATGCTGATCACTTTTCTTGTTTTGTGGTGGGAGCACCAAGCCTTGCCTTTGAAAGGAAGGCCGGTTACTTTTATTATGAAGACCTGTGCAGCTTTGACAAGCAGCCAGGAGTTGCTTCACATGCCCCCAGGCTACGAGCTGCACTGGGTACCAGTCAGTCAACACCAGTTTGTTGAGCTCCTACTGTGAGCCAGCACAAGGCAGAGCAGCAACAAAATACAATAATTGACACTGGTGCAGGCATAAAACGTGTTGGATCTTGAGAAAGAGACTGTTCGGTCTTTTGCCTATAAAGATGGCTGGCCAGCCTTTGCTTCTGGCTGAACAGAGAACCCTTTTGGGTTTTAAGGCTTTTGAAGCAAACTCCTCCACAAGGGTGTCTTTCTGAGTAGCTAGAGGCTGAAAGTTTCTTCTTGCTTGCCCGGGGAAGCCCAAATGGTCCCAAAGGGTCAGCTTTGAGATGGCTCTTGATTCAGCTTGGGTTTTGCAAAACAGTCACATACAGATCAGTACTTTGGGATCTGTCCTAGAGATCAGTGACTCCCARTCCCAGGGCAGAGCCTGTAAAGAGCTGAGGAAATAAGTTAGAAAGAGAGCAGGAGAGACAGCAGCCGTCTGCTCTTTTTTCTCTTTGGGTGCAGATATCACAGGGTTGGGTGAATGGTGCAGCTAGGGATTTGAGAGCTGGGTTTGAGATTTTTCCTTTTTCTCCCAAATGCAGTTCAAGGTTAGAGTGGTCTAAGAAGCACCGATTGGAAATGCAGCCAGTCTCAGCCTTATAGTTGGGATTTAAAAAAAAAAAAAAAAAAAAGACATGTACTTCCTTAGATTCTTAAAGGCAAAAGTTTGCAAGACAGAAATAGTTACATGAATAGGATCATTGTTTAATTTCTGAGCTATTTTGGGGGAGTTGCATAAGCTGCCTTTCTTTCGGGGACCCACTTGACCTCCGTGGGAAGTCCTTGTGGATAAATGATTTACAGGGCATCCTTCTCATCAGACCTACATGGGCTTCTTTTMTCCTTTTCAACCTTGGACTGAAAGAGAAACAGCCTCAGATGGTGCGCTGTCTCTTTAAGGTTGTTCTGGGGACCACTCTCTTTGATACCCCAAGGGTTCTTTCTACCTTTTGAGGCGAATGTCAATTCATGAGGTACTACATTGAGCAAAGAAATGAATTACAGCTTCCTGCAAAGACATAAACTGCACAGTGTTTTTTTAAATTTACTTTTTAAAATAAATGCCAAGAGTAGATCTTGTCTACATATCTATATATTTATATAAACATAATTTCCATACTCAAGCCCTATCTTCCCCTGTAGTCATTAAGTCTACTGGAGTGRGGAACAATGGGCTATTGGGTGGATTATAAAGCTTTAAAAACTAAATTTTCCAGATATTTCTAGCTAAGTTGGTAGCTTTTTTTTTTATCTTAATAGTATTTTAAAGTATAAACCTGGTAATGTAATATTCTTGTAGTTTTTTATATTATTATTATTATTATTATTATTTCAGGTAAATTACCCCAAACCTCATCCATCCTCAAGGTTTTTAAATTTTATTTTTTTAAATTAATGGGCATTGTATTTGTGACTTTAAAAATATTAATGTTTTATTTAAATGCCATATGCTGAGCAATTATTCTCTGTACATGGTAACCAAAACTTAAAGAGATTTCGATCRATTTTGATCAATTTTAGTGATCCAAAACATGTACTGTGTACAAATGAAATAATATGGCCTATTAGCCAGGTGTGATGGTGGCCCAAGGCATTTAYATTATGTTCAATTCTGGATTTTATTAGGGCTCCATCATATCCCTCATCTGAAATGTACACATTTTTGGTGTATGCTTGGTACTGGAGATTTATATATCAATATTCTCATACAAGAAGGCTCTACAGAAATAGGGAGAAAACTGTTGAGCCAAGAAAATGTTTTGGGGTAATCCCAGTGGCTCCGGAGGCTGAGGCAGGAGGATCACGAGTTCAAAGCCAGCCTCAGTGACTTAGTGAGGCCCTAAGCAACTCAGTGAGACCTTGTCTCTAAATCAAATATAAAAAGGGGCTGGGATGTGGCTCCGTGGTCTAGCACCCGAGTTCAATCCCTGGTACTACCCCCCCAAAAAAAAATGTTTTGGGGAAGATCTCTGGGCCATTTTGTGAGACACCCTTCAGTAACTCCCACTTGACCGGGCGCAGAGCCTTCCTGGAATGTTTGTGGACCAAGAAAAGATGGGTTTTGCAAGAAAAGAATCTGGAGCTGCAGGATGGGAGAATGTGAGTGAGCAGAGAGAAATCTGAAGAATTCTGGAAGGCAGGCTCAAGGTGGAAGTGAGAGACAGAGGGGGCAGGAGGGAGAGGAGGACCATCAGAGGGTGTGGGAGAGGTTTGGGTTAGGTAGGAAACACATTTTTAGGGGTATGCTCTTTCCAGCTGGGGGTCGCAAACTCAGCAGCCTGCGGGAACACGGAGGGAAGTAAATAAGGAAGGGGTGGGGACTGTGCCTACTCGTGGCTCAGCTCTATGCTGGAAAAGGGAGGGAGAAATCGGGAGGGTTTTTTTTTTAATGCTAATTTTTTTTAAAAAAACTTAATGATTATTTAAATCAATGTTTTTAAATGTCCAAAACATTTAGTTGAGCCCGAGGGCCACCAGTTTGCGACCCTTGTCTTAACACAGTCACTCCCCCAAGTATGTATAAGTTCCTACTCTTTGTTGTGGACGTGGTGGTATTATATATAGTTGGGGGTCCGATATTTCAGTTCTTCTCTATCTCTCAGAGTTAAGCTTTATTGTAAAAAAAAAAAAATTAACGTGGCCACAGATAACACTTAACTTTCAGTTTCCTGAAGGAACTTTGTAGTAAAGCCTTTTTTTTTTTTTTTTTTTTAACCAGATCCTCTGTCAAACCACTTGGCACTTTTTTCCTGAGGACTTCTGGTAAACCTCTTTTGCCCCTGGAGTTTWCAGATGAGTCATCAGGAAGGATTGCAGAAGAACTTGTTTTCTTGTATCTGGTTGTTGGATTAAAATTATTCTTAATGTTTTTGTTCGTGGGATCCTAGCCTGTCCCTTTAGAGTCCTGGTCGGTGACCATGAACAGTGCTGGGTCTCAGGGCCAGACGTCTTAGGCTGGTACCATTCCCACTGYGGAGGATGCTGTTCCAGTCAGTCTTGACTCCTGAATGCCTCTGTCCCTTTCCGACTCCAGGGCTCCCACCAGAGTTAACATTTTTGCACTTGGAGGGGATGAGCATGCTTCCAAAGCATCTCCTGCCACCTCTCCGAAGAGGCTCTTSGGTAACATGTGACTTTGACCTTGATGAAAATGCTTCCTCATCTCCAGCCACTTGGATAACAATTTTCTCCGGTGGTGGAGCGAATGGCCCTCATCCACATTCCCAGTGTCCCTCAGGAGGGAACCAAGTTCAATGTTATCATTGTGGTGTTAGTTTTTTTTTTTTTTTTTTTTAATCATTGTCTGTGACTTAGACATGTCTGTTTATAATTTTATATCTACATAGCAAATGACTGGGTGGGAAATGCAAATATAGGTTGGGAGAGGGTAGAGAGGATGCCATCATATTACAGAGAAAATAGACTCAAATGTGCAGCTAAATTATATATATATATATATAATCTGTTTTTTGAAGATTCAGGTATTCAGGAATACTTTAGCACCTTTTGCTTTAATTAAAAAGAAAAGTGCCTTGATTCAGTCACCTGACTTAAAACATTCCTCTGTTCTGTTGTTAAATAAGTGTCTTCTGATGCCAAACTGTGTTATGATGCRGTCTCGGGGCTGCAGAAGTTGTGTTCCAATAACAGAGACCAAAGAGTTAACCAGATCTCTCTCGGCTGCTATTCCTGTGTGATTAGAAAGCATTTTAATCGCGCCAAATTTCCATGGCCCGAATGGCTCACGCCTGGCCTGTTATTTGTTTTTTTGAGTTCAAGTTGGAGTAAGTTCGCACTTTGCATCATCCAGGTCATTGGAGGACCTTGTTCTTTTCCGTCTTGCTGTATTAATAAAGGAATTTGTAGAAACCTCTAGAYGGCGTGTCAACTTCGGGGTGGGCTTTCATCTTCCTGGCTCACGGTTCTTGGCAGAAGCCTCAGCGACCTTTATGAAAAGCTTTTCCATGGAGGGAAGTTGGGGAGAAGTATTTGTACAGAATAGGCTCCGTGTGCAGGTGGGGAAAGACGCCTGCTCAGAGCCCAGCAGGGGTGCTACCTGGGATTCTCTCTTCAAGTCTTGAGTTTTTTGTTTTTGTTTTTTCATTTTTTTGTAGGAGGGATTGAACCCACGGGTGCCTAACCACTGGGCAACACGGCCACCCCTCTCCCTCCAGGTCTTTCCCTACCTGGAACTCTCTGCCCTTCCCCCCTCCCTCTTCCTTACCCCCCACCCACTAACCTCACCCACGATTCAAGTCTTAGCCTGTGGCTAATTCAGAGCTCAAGAATTTGGTCCAGAAATCTCTCGGGCCCTGGGGCGCTCTCCAAATGGTAAACATGGGCCGATGTGAAAGAAAAAAAAAAAATCACCAGGTTTAGCCCGAGGAGATGGAATCTTGGAGGCTCTGTGGACAGTTCAGGGACTCAGGGGAAACCTGTCACCGCGGGCTGAGTAGCGGGTAGGGGGAACTCGGTGGGTGTGCTTTGTAATACTGTCCCAGGGTGTTGAGGGGACACACACACACACACACACACACACACACACACACACAGGCCTACACAGACCAGCCTCTCGCAAGTCTTTAAAGGAGTCGTTTTTTGTACAGTGTGTGGGGGGTGCCGGGCAGAGGACGGTGGTGGAAATAGAAGGGAGGCACTTTTTCTGGTGGGGTTTCCAGGGTCAGATCCTCTAAGTCGAGGTCCAAGGATGGACAGGAATGGACCAAGCAGAGGGAGCTGAGCTGGAGAAGAAGAGGTCAAATGCCCAGGTGCTTTCTAGTTCACCTGGCGGTGGGGGGGTGGGGGAGGGGTGGAGAAGGATTCATGAGCAAAGGACATGATGGGAAGGCAGTGGGGAGAAGGGACCAGGACATGGGGGTCTGGACACCGAGCTGCTCAGGCTGCAGTGTGAATCCAAGAGTTCAGGTCCGATTTAGCAGGTCTGGGCTGGATCTGGGCTCTACCTTCCTAGCAAGCGGCCAGGTGATGGTGACCCCACTGGTCCAGGGTCCTCACACACCTCCAGGGCTGCAGACCACAGTCAGATCCGATGGGCACATAGCCATGCCCCTKTATCAGTCTGCTCCTTGGGCCTGCTCTTACACCACCCCCATAGAGTTGGGTAATTGCCACGGAGATCAAATGGCCTGAAAAGCCGAAAACATTTGCTCTCTGGCCCTTTATAGAAAAAGTGGCCAGTCCCTGGAGCAAGGCTGGAAGGAATCAGATGCCGCAGTGGTTYAAGCCTGGGCAGAGGGGCCAGAGGTGGGGGAGGCAGAACATGACACGCCGCCAAGACCTGTCTTCCAATCTTGCATCCTATGCTTCCTGTCTGTAAGGAACTTTCTCTGCCAGTTCCCAAATTCTCTTTGAACCTCAGTTGATCTGTCTGTAAAATAGGCTTAATGATGGAACCTTGCTCATAGGAGTCATTGAGGATGACGGGAGATTTTTGCAGCCACATCGATAGGCACCTAGTTYGACTCAATATAGAAGTAGTTACTTGGGGCTGGGAGTGTAACTGTAGCCRTGGAGGGCTTGTCTGGCATGCCTGAGGCCCTGGGTTCCATCCCCAGCTCTGCAAGGGCTTTACTCCGTGTTTCACTACGGACGACTGGTTACAGGAATCAT